CCGAGGATGATCGCCATTGGGAATATATGGTAGATGGACGTCGTCCACTCGACGCCCCTTTCTACAATTTCTGGGGCAATTTTGTAGTCTAAACCACAATCAAAATCAATATTTAACCTGCATAGCTCTCCCCAGGGTGGCGCAACAGATACCTTCTTCTATTATCACGGAAGTGGCATTCAGAAAGCCCCCAAGCTGGTTAAAAAGTCTCTGGTTGTACAAACCAGCATACACGAGTGGTACATGAGTTCGAGTCTCACATGGCACGAGGCTAGGACTCGTTTTCTTCAGGACTCTGCTTCATCTATGTATAAATACACATCGTAGTCGTTGTTCGCACACACGTCCGTAGCAAAGCCCAAGACGAAGAGCTAGAGACATCTTCTGAGGATATATATAACAGTCCTAGGTATTTATCTAATATACTTCGTGAAAAGCTCTGCTTAACAAGATTTGAATATGCAGCTTTTTCCGTCCAATCTTCTCCTAATCGGGATTGAATAGAGGTTGACCCTGCCCTTTCCTTTGAATCTGCGACTGGCCAAGTCATGGCACACTTCAAGCTGGCCAAACCCACGGTTTCCAGACCACAGGCGATTCATGAAACCAGCATCCCCATGTACAACCTTCGTAAGGACTCCTGTTTTATTCCCTCTTTTTTTGATTGTTGATACACAAAAAATCAGTCTGTGATTCAGCGAGACCACCTGACCTTCTGGTTAGTAAGAGCCCAAAACTACCAGATGAACTTTGGCGATGCATATTCGAAGAGTACGCTAAAATTGATGGGCAAATAATCACGCTGTTGCGGGTCTGTCGACGATGGAGAGATGTCGCTCTCGTAACCCAGCGGTTATGGCGGCGCATCCTGCTCTCTGGGGATACCATAAACAAGTCGTTGAGGCAGGGAAGCGTCCATGCGTGCAACAAGATCGACGATGTCCAAACCGTATTGAAAAGATCGGGTACTTTAACCTCGTTGGAGCTCACACTCGTGTTGGGCCCGGACGAAAGGGCCTCAATCGATCCCTCCACGCGAAGCTCTCTGTTCAAAGTCGTTGGGAATGATCATCTACACCGATTGACATTTCTGTGTATCATTGTTAACCCACAGATGACACTGCCCCAAGTAACAGACTCCCTCAAGGGCGTGTTCAAAGGGTCTCTTGCCTCCTTGGAGAGCATGATGATTGCCAGTGCATTTCCAATCGGTGATATGTATGGTCCATTATCCGAGTTATTCGATGTGATCGAAAACACTTCCACAAAATTGCGAAGCGTCTATTTCGAAAACGTCAACAAGGATTTCCTCCAAAAAGTCAGCACAATGGACTTTTGGACGCGTCTGACAAGAATTACGATCAAGAATGAACATGACGCAATGGACGCTTCCGCATTTGCCCTTTGCAAACAGCTCGAGTTCCTCTCATTCAGTGGGGAGTTCAGTTACGGTCCGAGTAACTTTGACAAGACCATTCAGTTCCCGGACCTCAAGTGGCTCAAAGTGGGGTTAATTACGATGGGCACGCTAGTCAAACTTAGTCTGCCCCAAGTACACTCCTTCGTGATCGACTGTCTCCAGGCCAATTACCCGAACGAACCCCCCGCCCCTCATTCATACAAGATGCCCGAACTAAAGATCCTCCACATCGCCACCGTCAATCCCACCATCAAAGCACTCGTCGCTCCCAAGCTCGAAACACTCTGCCTTGCCATACCCACACTCAAGTCGGCCGACGCGAATTCAGTCTTCCAAGCCGTCTTCGATGGGAACGAAAAGATGCTCAAGCCCAGGAATTTGACAATCACAGCACCTATCAACGACAATTATCTCCTGGCCGCTCTCGCTCGGTTACCCGACTTGTGCTCCCTCACCCTCGATCACCAGCTCCCGTTCACAAAGGGCCTCTTCAAAGCACTCACTCCTCCCGTTTCTCTCACCAAACCACGCGGCCTTCTCCCTCGAGCGAAACGAGTCAAAAAACCACTGTTGTGTCCGAGGCTCAAGTGCCTGATTCTCGACTTGCACAAGGTCTCTCCTACGAACCAAGACACTATTCGGGCAGCGCTGGATGAACTCATTCAAGGAAGAAGGGATGCACCAGAATATGAACGGCTATGTCGCGTAGCCATACGGCTGACGGATGGCCCCGTAAAGCACGAGTTGATAAATCCTCCGCTTTGCTATTCGTGTAATACGCTTATCCATTCTTAGCAACAACCCTCCGCTTCCTATAGATTTTCCTGTTATATCTCGCTTCTCATCTTCCCTCTTGTTTCTTTCTTGCTCATTCGCCATTTCCTACCGCAGCCCTGGTGGTGGCCCGAACCGTTAAACCTCACTTCATGCTCCTCCCATTGGCTCGCTTATCTTCATCAGTCCTTCTCTG